AGTTGGGTCTTTTACGAGGCAAACATATTCACTAAAACATCACGTCACAGATTACTCGTTATGATTTAAAAAGCTAATCATCCATTTCTTGAATTTTAACCTTGATAGACCTACTTATGCCTTTCTTCAATAATGGACACCCCTTAGGAATAATGAAATACTCTCTTGCACACTGTATAGCACCTGACATTTACTTTAAACATCCACGGATCAAGGATATGTTGTGTTATGATTTACATGTAATCTAAAGCATCAGGGGATTAAGTCTGTAGGATTGCACTTAATCCCTGATATACCTCAGCACACATGATCCGTCCTGTCAACATTTGTAAGCATTGGTCATTAAATTCTTATCTAATGATATTCATATATTTGTGATTAGTTCTAGCAATACCCTGCCGTGTGTCATAATTTCTAATTTTGAACATTTTCAGGTTTTTATTTTATAAAAGAAGATTGAAGAATATTTCTGCAGAATATCAATCACTAAATTAAACTGAAAAGTATATTAAAATTATTTTGAAAATACAAATCCTAATTATAAACTATTGATTTTGGAATCTTTGGAAACTGTTTTCTCAAAACCTACATGGCTGATATATTCAATGAATTAAATATTCATAGCATTGCTAATACTCAATCAATTTACATCAAGTATACACTGTTTTAAAGAAGAATTCATGCAGAATCTAATAACACCAGAAACTTTTTCATATAAGGTCTAAATTGTAATGACGTCAATATTTGATGCATAATTGCATTTTTTCATGTCATGGCTGCATTACATATGATATTCATAATGTTATTTGTTATATGATATTGTGATACTCTTGTCTACAGTTTAATGAAGTCATATAGTAATATGTTATAGTAATATAATAGAGTCGCTCTTCCTTGCCGAGGCCTTGTGCTTCACATTATTTCTAATCATTAGATCCGACACCTGGAACACATACTTAGTTCCCTGAGGGAGTATTTCATGAAGCTGATAATCAGTGCATTAGTATTCAAAACTTCTAGGCACCCACTTATATTTCTTGATTCAGAGATAAACATAAAAGAATTCACACCAAGGATAATTCACTTCAGTCCGAAGACTTGTTTCCAGTGTGGTCCTTCTGGTGGTGAATTGGGCAGTACAACAGGAGACAATCCCTTACTCTTTTCCGAAGAGTGTACTGCGTTAGCACGCACATAGGCCATATTTTACACAAGACCAACGGCTTAAACGTCACATCCGAAAGACGGTGCGCTGTCTTAATTTGTATTTTGTTCCAGCTGGAATACAAGGAGAGAAGCAATGGGAATTGAACCGGGGACCTAGAGATCTCCACGGTTCAGCACGCAACAATGTTGGCGGTCTCCCTATAGGGAGCATGGCGCACCTTAGGAACATCTGTACATTGTCAGATACAGTTTTCCTCCCATACCATAACATACAGACGTACACAGCCACATTGCACTCTGTCTACAAGGTAGAATACACCATCAAACCTTTCAGATATATAAGGTATACAGAAATTTCCTTCAAGTCTTTTGATATTTGTTATTAAAATTTATGATAGCAAAGAGGAATGAGATAATCATCAAGAAGCCATTATTCCAAGTCGAAAAAATGTAAATTGTAAAATCTGTTCAAAGTAGAAATTAATGGAAACGTAGACCTGGGGAGTTTATTGGCCTTTGCTGTTAGATGTGAAATTTTTATTTCTGGATATTAAATGATTCCAGATCAAGCAATGCGTTAAGATTGTCTTTAATATTTCATAAATGGTGCTGAAGAGGCTGGCTTGCAGTGAAAACTGGCCGTCACAGGTAGTTGTATAAACAAATTAATAAAGATACTTGATCATTCATGTTTTAAAGCATCAAATCAGAAGCAATATCAAAATTACTTTAACATGCACACTTTAAAATTCTGATCTAGTCAGCAATTATCTTTTATTAAGGGATTATAAGAATACAAAATATTACAAAATTTAAACATTAAATAAGATAATCATTAACACCTTCAAATCACCATCATCATAAACATTTGTTGCCAACCTTGTCATCATTGTCTTTGCCACTGTTGTTCTTACCAAAATTTTGCAAATTTTTCCTCAAGAATGGTGTAAATTGGAGGGGAAAAAATTTCCTTTTGAAAGTGACAGCCCATTCCAATCTTCACACCCACATGTTTGTGTACAACTTGAAGATTTATATAACTAAAGTGCAGAGTGTTTTTCTTGAGTAGATAAGCATTGGATTGTATGTGGGAGGTACATGCTTTTTATATGTCACTGTCTGACTACAGTTAAATATGACATAAGAAAAACTATGTTTGCCTAGCATCTGGAACATGTACATACACCACTGAAAGAGAAAAGAGCAACAATTTCATCATTACTAGTGGTTATCTTATAGACAATTTTTGAAATTTCGTTACAACATAATAATTACTTAATTTTATTAATTTTATTAATTAAATTTAATTTAATTATTATCAACATTTCAGTAGTCATATTATTTAATGTATCACAATGGAAATAATGAAATAGGCCTTGTGGATAAAAATGCCACATTCAAGAGCCTTAAACTCTTTACAATGTATGTGGATTAGATTCTAGTTTTTTAAGTCATAATGGATGTACCTGTATTCTTTATGTTAGTACACAGCCTTTATTTTCATTGTAAACAGTAGATCAGACAGTGAAATGTGTACTCCCATGTGACAATTCAATCTGTTGTATTTTTTTTTTAAATTTTAGTGTGGTAATGATGCTTGCAAACTCTATAATTTTTAAACATTTATTGGAAATTTTCCCCAAGGTCAATTTTTCGGTTGACAAGTTATTCTCCAGAAAATTACACTTCCAATGATCCAAAAAATTCCTTTCTACCATTTTTTTTGTGTGTGTATTATTCATCGATCAGAGTAACAGTACTGTACATGATTTCAAAATGGAAGTGCACTTTCGTTAGTATGATTAGAAAATATGAATAGATTAATATACATTTGTTACTCTTTCACATTTCATAGGTAATGTAAATTTTGTTATAGTTTGATGGTTTTAAGATTTACTCAGGTGTAAAAACTGTTTTTCCTGCATTTGGTGCTAAACCCAATTGCCATAAAACTGTACAAGGTTGGGCTTTCCCTTTTGGTCAACTGATGGAGCCTATGATTTGATAATTGCCATTAATTCAATCTATCTGCACTAAAGCAGTATCAGTGTAACTACTTGAGTGAATGTTGTTCTAACAATAAGGATGCGAATGTAATTGGATTAATGTTGGAAGCCCCACCAAAATTATATATTGTGATTTGATTAGATTGTTTTCATATCTTACCTCCACTTCGGTAAATAAACAATATTAGAGGGCTTTCTGATCAATATTTGCAGGAACGTGATGTGTCTGTTACAGTACTCCTATGAATGTTACATTTTTAATTGAATTTTTAATTTATAATTTACTTTATGCTTAAATAACATAATAATAATGTAATTAAAACATCTAGTTTAACATTATACAGTATATCATCCCATACTCTAATACTTCAACTAAAGTGGAGTTTTCCAATTTTTTCCCACTGTTCTTTGTGTTCCTTTTTTCATCACTCTCCTGCCACACCATCCAATTGCTACCTTTTAATCTTCTCACAATTTTTTTTGTGCCATGCTTTTCCTCATTTTTGCCACATCATTCTGGTCATTTCTGGCCAACATTTCATTCTTTTACAATACAGTACTTGTTTCCTGCCATGCTAATCTTCTTTTCCATTCCTTTTCTTACTATTAGTTCCTTAGTGAAATTATAGTTTCTAATAGTCATGCATAAAATAAGGATAATTTTGTGGTAATTCAATTTACTTATGGATTTGACCTGTTTATTAGTATATTGATCATTAGCTAGTTAGTGCTAATTACGTAGTGTAGTATATTTACAAGAATGTTGCTGAATGTAATTAACCTACTTGTAAGTCATCTGTTATTTAGAATGAGGTTATCGATAATTTAACTGCAGTATACAAGGTTTGATATAAGTTTATCATAAAGATTATGCAATACACATACAGAGATGACAAAATACAACAGTAGCTTTTTCATATCGTATTATAATTTTCATATTCAATCAATAATAATAATAATAATTCAGTATTAGATGTTTTTGGCCATCTTCCTAAAACAGCACTTGTTTGAGAAAAAAAAAATATTGATATACCATAATAATATGAGGCTTACCATTCCAAAACCAGCATACAGTCGATAATTGTTAACTGAGTACAGCGTAAAAAGGTAGAAGTATTGTATACTTTATTACAGAGAAGCCATAGTACTTTTACTCATAAGATGGTCTTGAATTGGAGGGCCAACTATATACTTTTTTAATTTATAGATTTTCTGTGGTGAAATCCAGAATAGTTAAATCAAAATATTCACTTGCTCATTTACAAGGATTATGTTGCTTATAAAATTTTTCCAATGGGATGTTAATGGAAACAATTACTCTTTCCTGATTTACGATCATTTTAATATGAAAATACCTTAGCAGTGCAAAGAATATAGGAATATTATTTATCTGTTAATTTGTAGGGAATATATTTTTTTGTTCTAATTTTCAATTGAAAGCCAATAATTTATATTGATACAAAATAAAGCAATTCAGATGTAAAGCCATCTTAGGTCAACGCAGACATCTTAGAGCACTGGGCTTATGATAACAATCCTGTAGTTTACTATTTTCTACGAATACTCATTAAAAGAATATTTATGCTCATTGGATAATCTCTGTCATTGTCATTACATATAAATTAAGAATTATTTATGTTGCCAACAAAGTGGTAAAAATTGGTTGAACCTCTTAATGCGGCTGATGCAAGTTCGATTGCATAACCGTAGTCATGTGAATGTACACGTGTGTGTGTTTGTGAATGCTGTGTTTATGATCTATGTTGATGTGTTGGTGTAAAGAATGCAATATTGATGTGTAGGTGTCCTCAAGCTGCATTGGTAACTGTTAATATGTCTAGTGTAGGCATATAGTTCAGTAAGCAGAGGTTGGTGTTTGACATGTCGATGTTGGAATGTGGAAATATCAGGTGCACATCTGTAAGTATTCACTCAATTAACGAGACAAATTTACGTAATTTGCTATTTATAATTTAGTATTGAGGGAGATTTTTTTTTATGGCTTATTCTATTTCATAGATAATTAATATTAATTCATTCTGAATGCTAGACAGGTAAGACATTAATACATCTATGAGCTTATTAAGAAGTCAGCTCTTAAATTGTATTCAGTAAAGTTTTTATAGGAAAAATTAATTAACCGATGTTTATTATTTGTTCATTAGAAATAATTATCTGTGAGTCAACTGTTTTTCTACATAGTGTGCTTACAATCTAAGCTCCAGATTTTTGTGTGTGTGTGTAGTGATGACATCAGGATTTTGCACAGACATTCCGTGGGTTCTGATTGCCAGCAACTAAACTGTACTCTTTATTTAACAACTTTATTTATATTTGAATTTTATTTTCATATTGATTGCCAGATGATTCATTGATATTGAGTCCTTTCTTTTTTTGGTTTTAATTTGAAAATTGTCATTTTGAAGTTTCTACAAAAATGTTCATTTTCATTCAGTAATATTCTAGTTTTTTTCCCTTTAATGTGAGATGGGTTTCAAAATATAAAATCAAAAGCTAGTTAATTTCATTCATTAGGCTAATTTATTTGATAAGTGCACCTTCTTTGTTGGGGGTATTAGTTTAATGGTTATGATATTAGTGGTTTTAGTGATTGATTGACTCACTCAAAGGATTCTTCGTAGGTGAGTTAAAAATATACCTGTCAGTACTATTTGAACTCCCTCTGCTGATATAAAGTATAATATATAATAATATAAAAGAAACAATACAGTTCAGATTGGTGGACTTTTCATAAAAATTACATGCATAAGTAGGCATGTGATGAAGTGGTAAATAATAAAACTCTAAGGTTAATATGGTTAACCATAATTTACATTTATTTCAATCAGCAAGTAATAATAATCTATCAGTACTATGGTTGCCAGTTCCATTGTTCACAAATCATTTAATTAATAAAACGTGATATTTCATAGAATTGCTGTAACCCATTTTCTGCCTTTAGTCATTATATTGATATCGTATGTAATTAAGTGCGTTTGGATCTTGAATGATTTACTAGTCAGTAATCGGTATGAGATGATATTTGATACGTGTACTCTGTCGGTTTGTCAATCGGTTGCTGGCCTATTTAAATACATCTGTATGGCTTGGTTTACATATATTTAAGTACGCATATTAGAGCAATCTATAGGAATTAATGATGTTTATACATAAATTTCAACATAAAATATACGATTAAGAATGATCATCATAGACTTATCAATATTAATAAAAACTAAAGATAATTAACATTGAAGATTTACAATCATTTACATAATTATATATAATAGTAATTTATAGTACACCATGCCAACAAAGCCTGTACGTGCATCACTTTATTTACCCTAGCCGGTGGATCAAAGAGCTATGGAACCACATACTCAGCTCCCTAAAGGAAGAGTACTCCATAATATTGCTGCTTTTGTAATGGATAGTTATTATCATCATATTTATATTGTAATTATGTATATTATTATGTACAACGCATCTTGAAAGAATCATTTATATATGGAATACACAACATACATGTTTCTTCTTTCTGAATGTCTCTGTTATATCAGATACTTTTGACTATAACGTGAGTTAAGGACATCCCCTCGGGTAAAAGGTGTTCTGGAGAAGACTTCCATCATTGTCACTGTGTTATGGTTATCACAATCAGCTTCCTATGAATCCAGTGTGGACCTTTCAGAGAATGTTGCATAATTTGTTTATTGTTATGCTAGCTTTTTACTGCCAAATTTGTGGACCAACATGCATTTATTTATCATGTTAGCGTTTTATTTTTCCAGCCCAGTTGATAACACTATTATATTATATGTATTCTGACCACACCTTAATAATTCTGCTCTCTTAGTATAATGATATATTTAGTAGACAATCCATAAAACCAGTCTACCATCATAATCATCACCATCAACCTCATCATCATCATTATTACCTTAAAAAAAATCATCTGGTTTCAGTATATTACAAGGTAATGATTCCCTTATTAATACCATTATCCTCATTACCACCATTATATCATTCTCATCACTTATCATTATACAGAGTATACTATAAGAAAAATAATTTGGCATATTGTGGTGAACAGGCTTCCATTGTAAAAGAAAGATATTATTATTATTATTATTATTATTATTATTATTATTATTATTATTATTATTATTATTATTATTATCACCATTTCCACCACCACTATCTATCATTAATACCATATCTATTTTTGTTTTTATTATTCAAGACAGGTGATACAGTACAGGAAAATGTTTTGTTTGTATGGTATAGAGATTTGCTTTATAATGGCATTGCATTAATAAATAATACATAACTATTTACACCTACTTAACTAAATATTCAATACAGATTGCTTAATTTACAGCTCAATTACATTTCCATTATATGATCTTAATTTTAATTATATTGTAATGTTGATAATTGAACATGCTCTACCAACAAAGCTTAAAAATATGTCTCATGGAATGAGACTTCACAATATCAATAGAAATAATGGGTAAACATGGTTAAAATGTGAGCGCTTGATGACGTGATGCTGCTTCATTTAGGGAATTGGCGGTTAAGCAAGCTTCATATAGGGACTTGGTTGTTGAGCAAGTTTCATAGAGCTTTAAATAGGGACTTGGTCGTTGAGCATGTTTCATAGAGCAATTCATATAGAGACTTGGTTGTTGAGCAAGTTTAACAGACTTGGTTGTGAGCAAATTTCATAGAGCTTCATATAGGGATTGGTTGTTGAGCAAGTTTCATAGTGCTTTATATAGACTTGGTTGTTGAGCAAGATTAACAGAGACTTTGTTGTTGAGCAAGGTCCATAGAGCTTCATATAGGGACTTGGTTTTTGAGCAAGTTTAACAGAGACTTTTTGTTGTTGAGCAAATTTCATTGAGCTTCATATAGGGATTGGTTGTTGAGCAAGTTACATAGTGCTTCATATAGGGATTAGTTGTTGAGAAAGTTTCATAGAGCTTCATATTATAGGGATTGGTTGTTGAATAAGTTCCATATTGCTTCATATAGGGACTTGGTTGTTGAGCAAATTTCATAGTGCTTCATATGGAGACTTGTTTGTTGAGCAAGTTTCATAGTGCTTCATATAGGGATTGGTTGTTGAGCAAGTTTCATAGTGCTTCATATATATGGACTTGGTTGTTATAGTTTAACAGAGACTTTTTGACGTTGAGCAAGTTTCATAGAGCTTCATATTGGGATTGGTTGTTGAGCAAATTTCATAGTGCTTCATATGGAGACTTGTTTGTTGAGCAAGTTTCATAGTGCTTCATATAGGGATTGGTTGTTGAGCAAGTTTCATAGTGCTTCATATATATGGACTTGGTTGTTATAGTTTAACAGAGACTTTTTGATGTTGAGCAAGTTTCATAGAGCTTCATATTGGGATTGGTTGTTGAGCAAGTTTCATAGTGCTTCATATATAGAGACTTGTTTGTTGAGCAAGTTTCATAGAGCTTCATATTGGGATTGGTTGTTGAGCAAGTTTCATAGTGCTTCATATATAGAGACTTGTTTGTTGAGCAAGCTTCATAGAGAGCTTCATTTGTTGAGCACGCTTTATCTAATGTACGAATCACCGTACGTCTTGTTTACAAACCTCTTCTCGTCACAATTTCCGTTAGGTGGTTAAGTTACCCTTGTGAACTTCAGATGGGCAATTAACCTCCAGATATAGAGAAATTGAAGAATAATTATGCCATTTGTCGAGAGGGATATTTTACATTCATTGCGATGTAACTTCTTTTTCCTCTTAAGCAATTTAGAGTCCATTTTGACAGGTTACAAGGCTGATGGCCTCAATTTAGCGATACAAAGTGAATATATCATATTATGTTTTTTTTCATGCTTCTGTGTGCACAATTTTCAATATTTCCACATAACTGTAAATTGCTCATTTTTAATAAGCAACAGTTGGTTATCAAAAACTAAAATTAAAAGACAGCGATTGACTTATAAAGCAATTAGTAGAGCATGCATCGTACACTATTAAACGGAATATTATTATACTTAGGTGAGATTTAATGCATTCAAAAAAAAATTTCCTTCGGGCCTTGCAGACCCTCAGGAAAATTTTTCAAGCATTAAATCTAACATTCGTATAATAATTTTCCTATAGTGTGCTATGCGGAGCTCTACTAATTGCCTATTATTACCTAAAACCCTGTCCAGACTATCAAATTTTCTTTGACAAAAAAGCTGTTGTATGCTCATATATAGTCATGATGTGCCTATATATGGTCATGGTGGGATATCATTAGGAGGTGCACTGAGTGTAAGTACTGTACAAATAGCATGAATGTCACCCAAAAATTGACAAGGCCATTTTATTGTACTTTTCGCTTTTATTTAAGCATCATCAGGAATAATACATAATACAACAAAGGAACAAACAAGTTACCAGAAATCCTTTTTTGAGTGACATTCATACTGTATGATGTCATCATGACCATATTTAGGCATGTCACATGTTTTTGTCAAATAAAATTTGGCCTTACAATGACTTACAGATATTTTTTTTGTTAGTTTTCTATAAGGATGCACCATCAATATAAGTGTGCCCCAGATTTAAAAGTGTTTTCCAATAAATTGATAGATTGATTGATATAAAAATTTATAAAATTTGCTACTAGAAATTTGGTATCTGCAAAGATTATAGTATTATGTTATTTTACATCCAATAGGAAAGAAACTATGCATTGATAGTAATTTTAAGTCTTGGTGCCTATTTTTGCTCTTTACAGATTTACATGATTATATATCTAAAGTTGTCAATAAAATAGCATTGATATTTTAGGAAGTACAGTCCCAAGTGCCTTTGCGAGAAATGAAATATGTCGTTGCCTTGTCAATACGTGTCATAACCTATCTGATGAGCATATAAAGTTGCCATA